TCAACGTTAGTGCAGGGTCTTCCACCACAAATCTGCTTTGCAGGAGCACCTGCACCTTGGTTACTGCTTTGGCTGCAGACAAGGGCTCTCTGACCCTGGGCTTATTGGGTTCTTGTCCTCTCTGACTTCATCCCCGGTGCTGTCTCTTTTCAGAGGGCCACCACAAGTAGCAGGACGCAGCCAAGCTACACTGTCCATCGTCACCTCCTACAACAGCTGGTGTCCTATGAGATCCTGCAGCATCAGGTACTGAGAAGAGCAATGGACAAGGGGAGGAGATGGCGGCGAAGCAGGGGAAATGGAGGCTTAATTCCCTGAGAGAGCTGGGGGTGAGGCTTTCCTTTGGAGCCCATTGAGTTTGACATCTGCTGTTGGCACCATGAAGAGATAGGCTGCTCCCTGGGAAGGCGGGTCACAGTGCTCAGCCCACAGAGATCTGTGGTGTCTGGAAGCTCCCCAAAGCCCTTTACAGCAGCCATTTCTGCAGTGGCCCTGCAAACACATCCACCTGTTGTGCTTGTCCCCAGCTCGTTGGTGGTTCTCACCTTCTCTTTGCGTCCCCGTTGCCACAGGCCGGCAGCACTGCGTGGGACGGGGAGCTGAGCAGACACGCCATCACCGTGCTCTACCTGCACGCCACGCAGAAGGACCTGTCTGACTTCCACCAGGTCATGGCGTGAGTACCCTTGTGCCCCAGGGAGCTGTGCTGGTGAGCAACCATGCAGCAGTAAGGCGGGTGTTCATGGGTCCTGGTACCTTTGCCTTGATGCTGTTTGATCTTGGGCAAGCCCTCAGTCCCTCATGTAAAAGGTTGCCCTAATAATGTCTCACTGTGTCTCGAGGGCCTTGTGGACCTCCTTGGCAGTCAGTGGTGTGCTTTGAGATCCCTCCAACAGGACTGTCAATGCTGGACATGGCCAGGTCAGCCGGCCCTGGCTGTTTCTCCAGCATTGCTGAGTTTTTCCTCCTTTCCCTCACGTGTGGCTCACTTCTGCCTCGTGCCTCTCTGCACACTGATTCACCTCCTGCAGTCTCTCCTGCAAAGTTTAGATTAGCACTAGTGGTATTAAACCCAGGGCTGTGAGCAGCAGCAGGAAACCTTGGTCCTGCCCTTGCAATCACGGCCCTAGCTGTGGACAAGGGAGTGTGGTTGTGGATGAGGGAGCCAGCCCCATTCCCCCCTTTCTCATGACTGCTGTGTTACCCAACTGACTCTGGAAGCGAGGCTTATACAGCTGGGCCAGGAGAGGCCCCTTACGGCTGCCAGAGATGGCCCCAGTGCCTCAGTAGTTACCCCAGCCTCTCCCTGGCACCCCAGGCAGTGGCTGGCTTACAGCAAACTCTACCA